AGAAACATCATTGTTGAGAGAGAATCATTTATTGACTGCCTCCTGCACACCTCCCACTAGTGATTGAGCCTGCAACCCGGGCATGTGCCCTGACCGGGAATTGAATAGTGACCTCCTGGTTCCTAGGTCGATACTCAACCACTGAGCCATGCCGGCCAGGCCATTTGTATATCTTCTTGGGAGAAGTGCCTATTCAAATCTTTTGCCCATTTTTAAAATTGGGTTATTTCTCTGTTGTTGATTTATAAAATAGCCTACGAACTTTAGCATGAATACTGTGATACAACTGGAATTCAAAAAACCTTGGAGAATAAGTGTTTTTTCCTTGCAATCAATGTGGCATCAATGGCAAAGTGGCAAGAATAAGCAGGTCAATATAACAGAAGAGATGGCTCAAAACCAGATCACAGTATTTATATTAGATAAGGTAAAACACATCTGTGGAGAATGGAAGGATTTTTCAACAGTTTTGTGATTGGTTAATATTTGGGTTTGTGAGGGGGTAACTATTCAGATCCTCACAACAGAGCACATAGCAAAATACAAACCAGTAGATTCAGATTAAATAATTAAAATTTCAAATATCAAACCATTAAAAAAACAAAAGATTAGATTTTACCCGTCAGGTTTCTAAGTTTAAAAACAATGGGAGAAAGCACTGAAGGATAAATATAAGCACATAAACTTAAAATTTGTATATACCTAAAATGCCACAAATGTTACTAAAATATAAATTGGAACAAACTATTTGCAGTGAAAATACCAAATGAGGGGTTAACATCTTATTATTAAAGCACTTACAGAAATCAACTACAGAAAGGTATAAACTGATCATTCACAACAGAATAAAGTGAAATGGTTAATAAATATATTACTGATAAACATATTGATTACTGATAAAGTGTTTCATTAGTAATCAAGGAAACACTGACTAGAAGAGCAACACCATGCTGATTGTTCACCTGTCAAGGTAAGAAAGGTAAAAAGAAGTTAACTTGCTTAATGTTGGAGTGAGGGCAGTAAGAAGACAGTCATTCTTAGACATTGCTGGTGAGGTATAAATTTGTATGATCTTTTGGGAAAATACTATAAATTGGTAATTTCAAAGAGTTTAAAAAATGTTCCTACTTTCTTACCCAATAATTCTATTTTTAGGATTCTATCTCAAGGAAATTCTGAGAACTATGTACAATATTTTCTGCATGAAAATGTTCATGCCATGTTATGTATTATATAAAAAATGGAAAGTACTAAATGTTTAATGTTAGAAGATAATGGTTAAGTAAATTATAGTTCATGACATGAATAAAATGTAGTTTTTCTAAATTAAAATGTCTGTGTTGTGTAATTAAGTATTTTATATTTATTTGCTCATTGAATCCTCACTACAATGATACTGGATATTTTTCCTTGATCCTTCCAGGTGCATCCAACACTATTCTCTAGCCCAGTGGTTCTCAACCTTCCTAATGCCGCGACCCTTTAATACAGTTCTTCATGTTGTGGTGACCCCCACCCATAAAATTATTTTCGCTGCTACTTCATAACTGTAATTTTGCTACTGTTACGAATCGTCTTGTAAATATCTGATATGCAGGATGTATTTTCATGGTTACAAATTGAACATAATTAAAGCATAGGGATTAATCACAAAAACAATATGTAATGATATATGTGTTTTCCAATGGTCTTAGGAGACCCCTGTGAAAGGGTTGTTCGACCCCCCAAGGGGTCTCGACCCACAGGTTGAAAACCGTTGCTCTAGCCTGTTCTATCCCCTGAAGGTTGACCTATCAGGACTCATCTACAGGCTCCCTTGCCTTCCAGCTTCCGGTTAGGTGAAGTCAGTCAAGAGGACCAGCAGATTGGAGGGAGGGAGGAGAGGAAGATTGGGTGTTTATCTGTCCTGGCTCCCTCCCTGAGGGTTTCCTGTGGGCTGACTGCCTCTCTGAACTAAAGAACACAGCTTGAATCAGGCAGCCCTTTCCAAAAACCAGTATTGCCAGGTTCTGAGTACTGCTCTCTCCCCTATAGTAATGCTTTCTTGCTGTCCCCAGTCTGGATAACAGCACAATTCCTTGTGGTTTCTCTCCATTTTACCCACATCTTTTAAAACACTTCCTTTATGATAACTCTCTTCAAATGATCTGCGGTTTGCTGTTTCCTGCTGGAATCCTGACAGAACAATTTATGAGACTGTATGGGGAGGAGATAGGCACAGAGAAGTTAAGTAAGTTGCCCTAGGTCACACAAGGGAAGGAATAACACTTATACGATGTCATAATTATTTCTTGATTAATCTATTTTAAAATAATTTTTATTATTTTTATTACAATAGACATACAAAATATACAATACAAACAATAAAGTGAATAGAGAAAACACTCCTATTTCTACCCATCTATTTTATCCATCATTCATTTAATGAGACTTCCATATTTTTATTTCCATAAAAATACTCTATACCTTCATCTGGCAGTTTCAAAGTCACTTGAAACTCAACATGGTCAAGATCTTTTAAATCCTAGCCACGACCAAGTCCTATCAATTTGACATGTAAATGTCTCTAATGTTCCACATCTGTCCAGTTCCACTGCTGCCACCCACCTTAACGATCACCTCTTCTTTAAAGAATTCCAAAGTTTGGTTTCCCTCTATCTATTTTTATCTCCTTCAATTCATTAGTCAGACTGCAGGCAGATAGACTTTTTCTAAATGCAATCTAGTCACATTGCTCCCTGCTTAAAAATTGCAGTGGCTTGCGTTGCGTTGCTTTAGAATACATACCAAGCCTGACCAGTGTGGCTCAGTGGTTGAGCATAGACCCATGAACCAAGAGGTGACTGGTTCGAGTCCCAGTCAGGGCACATGCCCTGGTTGCAGGCTCCATTCCCAGTTGGGGGCTTGCTGGAGGCAGCTGACCCATGGTTCTCTCTCATCAATGTTTCTATCTCTCTGTCTTTCTCCCTTCCTCTCTCTCTAAAATATATATGAATATATATAAAAGAATATATACCAAGATCGTATTGGGGCCAGCAGATCTCAGTAACTTTGTTTCTGGCTTCTCCCCTTGCTATAGCTCCATCGGCTGGCTTTCAGTGGCTTCAGTAAACAATGCTTCTAGCTACCCCAGGACCTTTGCCCACATTGTTCCCTCTTTCTGGAACATTTTTAAAGCCTTCCTCCCAAAGTTAACCTTGAGAGTGGTCAGGACACCCTAACTTTTTCTTAGTACTATAGACCTTTCCAAAATAAGATTGATTAGAGTTTGGATTGACAATCAAGCTTGTGGTTGTCTATTTCCTTGTATTGGCTCCTCTAGTGACTACATGATTGATGAAAGTCTCCAACTGTCTTGTGTCACCTCTGTATCCTCTGTACCCTGCGCCGTAGCTAGCATAGAGTATGAAATAAAATATTTCAATGAAAAGAAATGAAAACAACAGGAATAAGGAGAAATTTGGACAGGATCATATTTTAAAGGGCTGAATTCTTTTTTTAAATATATATTTTTATTGATTTCAGAAAGGAAGGGAGAAAGAGAGAGAGGGAGAGAGAGGGAGAGAGAGAGAGGGAGAGAGATAGAAACATCAATGATGAGAGAGAATCATTGATCAGCTGCCTCTTGCATGCCCCACACTTGGGATCAAGCCCATGACCCAGGAATGTGTCCTGACTGGGAATGGAACTATGACCTCCTGGTTATGGGCCAATGCTCAATCACTGAGCCATGCTGGCTGGCCAAAGGGCTGAATTTATATCCATTTCTTCTGCTTCAAAGTCTAACAAGATAAAAATGATAACTATTTAGTAGTAAAAGCTATTAAAACTGGATAAAGAAAACACTAAATCTATATTTCCTTACAGTTTCTTCAACAGGATATTGTTTGACACAGAATGGGGCGAGGGGTGGGTATTAAATATGTTTATAGGCGGGAAGGGATATTAGTTAACTTCCTAGAGTTCTCATCTACTTTGAATCCATGTCATAATTACATCTGTCTTTGAGGGGTTAGTGATGACAAATTCAGCTCTGTTGGGAAAAGTGTAAATTTAAGGGATAAAAGTAGCAAGACAAGAGCCTGACTGCGTAGTAAAATATATGCAGTAGACAGTCCTCTCTTCAGTAAGGGGTGTGTGTGTGGGGGGCGGGGCGGGGGGAAACGTGTATTTTTTTTACTTTGTTTTATTTCTGCACCCTAGCCATCCCCTGACCTTCGATTTTAAACTGCAGACCCCACTTAATCTGTGATCTCCGAGTTATTTTCTCGATTACTTGCTTCAATTTTGGTTAAGCACCTGGGCTTGGAAAAACTCAGAGAAAAACCAATCATGGACGTCACCAGTGATAGTTGGCGCTTCACCCCGCCCCCTCTTTAGGGAGGGCGCCAGGCCGCGCGACCACGCCAGGCCCTTTGTGACGTCAGAACGAGCCAAACCAAGTGGAGAGGGGGGCCGGCGACACTACCATCCAGGTCCCCTTCCTTAAAGTCCCCGCTTTCTGAAGTCGACCTTGGCCCGGTCTCTTTTCAGTTAAAGTGTAAGAATCACAGCCCCAGGTTGAAGCCCCCTCCCACGCGGCCACGCCCATATTCGCGGCCACGCCCATAT